GAACATTACTTGATTAAGTTGAAAAGTCTTGAATAGTATCGAGAGATATCATCGCAAATCGGTGAATATCAGTTATACGAAGATTCCTGTACTTTCAAGAAGTTTCTTGAACTTAAGCTCAGTTCCATGAACTCAAAGCCTGTATAAAGTTCTCTGAATATGTAGAATATTCGACGAATTCCTGGGATATTCCGTCAGCTTCTTTGAAGTTCCCAGTACATCAAAGATTTTTCCATAGCTTACATCTTTCATTTTTTTGATAGGTATAATTTAATTTCTGCTTAGCTTGCAGAACTTTCAAATAATTCATGCGATGTTCCGTAATCATCGTCCACGAAGTTGTTTAACATTCTACGAAGTATCCTGAAGATCTATGATGGTCCCTGAAGTTCGACGAACTTCTATGAAGTTCTCTGAAATTAAATGAATGTCTCTTGACATCTAAGAAGTTCCCTAATGTGACATGATGTTTTGTTTGTCAGCCAAATTTCACAATAGTGCGTACAGATCATGAGGAGTATGGTGGATGATTTCTCTCATGAATGTATTTGTAAAAACTATTTTGCCGTGCTTTAGGATTACACAGATTACATACTTACGGGTGAAGGTAATGCATACCTTTGTGCGTAACAAATGACATCGATAGCCAGGATAGAAAACGGTGACCTATAGAAGTTCCTCCAGAAGGAGTAAGCATTTTACAAGATTCAGCTCGCTAATCTAAGGAAGGACTCTAAAATCTGCAAATACTGAGTTTTTTATCAGTTGAGACTAGTACTACGTACTTCCAACCATCTTAACAATGAATTTCAATGGTTTTCGATCAACTATGAATGATGGACATCTCACAACGCTCAACCTAATTTTCGTCATGTACCATCTATATACACGATTATAAAATTTAATAAAAATGTTCACGGTTTGCTTCACTGCTAGATCATATTTTTCACGAGTGCTTCTTGTACAACGATTATGTACAAAAAGTGATGTCTGTGTGCCATACTTTCGATAAATCAGAATGAATGACAAACGAAGGGAAGAGATATATTTCATAAGATGTGAAAGTTCTGGATTCTGCTACAGATATTCCAAGATAGATTTTATGGGGTAAAAGAGTGATAAAAAAATTCCCGGGATTAACGCAATCCCGGGATTTATAAATTTATTTCCCGGGATTCGGTAATCCCGGAAAATGTCACAATCCCGGGATTTTCATCCCGGGATGGAAGCTCTAACGACTTGTATCTTTCCCTGGCAAGGATGTTCCGCACCGTTGAAAGTTGGCGTTGTACCTTCTGGCCACAACTCGGATCGAAAGGCCGGGGTTTGCTGTAATGCACCTCAACACTTTACTGTGCAGCCGACGATCCCTGGTTCCAGTTTCTTCGTAGGTCCGCTGATTCCTTTCCACACTCAGGGGTTCCTTGTATGTTTTTAACACTCGACAAACTGTTGTTTTCGGCATCTTCAGCACTTTAGCCACCTTGGAACTGGACCACTCCGGATTTTCCAGGTGTTTGTGCACACTATTTTTTTCTCTTTCGAGTTCCATTTGACGTTATTTCTGCATGCAATCGACTACTTTGATCAAACTTGCACCAGTTGTTCTCTATAGAAGTGAAAACAAACCACTGTCAAAGATTTTCGATTCCCAACACTAGAGGCGTGCTACACGGATAGAAATCTCCTTATACCTTTTGGCAAATTTCTATTGCTGATTATTCATAAAATGTATAAGTCAACTAATAAGCAGACGCCTTGCAAACAATTAATGAAGATCATGTGTCAAATGAAATGCATAAGCTGTCACACATACCTTTTATGCATTCTTATAGGACATATGTGGTTTGTCTTGTGGAATGTATAAGGCTGATGTTGTGGCAAAAATGTACAAGTGAAACACATGAATAAAATAATTGATTTTCGTTTCGTGTAGCGGCGCGCAAGGGGTGTTCCAATTTACTTTTAGTCAGCCTTTATATAGTAGCAGGAGCATCGATTGACACTGATAACTTTACTTTGTTCACCTTTGTTACTTTTGACGTAATGAAAATTTGCTCTTGAGACACAATATTACCCATCCCTAATGAATAAGTACCATAAACGAACTGTATCCCGGATGGGTAAACAATCCCACAAATTATCGTTAAGCTCTCTTTTATGGTTGTTTTTATTAGAGATACGCTAATGCCTTGTTCAGACTGGAGAGTTATAACATGTTATAGCACTATCTAGATGGTGGTTTCTGTATTACAATTATTTGACAACCGTTATAATATGTTATAACTGCTCTGTCTGGCCAGCGTTTAATAGAGGATTTGGTTCTCTTCTGTTGCGTCTAAAACAAAATGGGTAAGTCTGACCGGCACCGTATCTGAGATTGGATTGTTTGTTATTTAATAATTAATCATGGACATTAAATTTCGTTGCTGAACATCGTGACTAACATTAAAAATGGTCCAACATGTTGAAAATACATAGTTTCTGATTTATAAAATTTGTAATAACTTGAGAACGGCTGGACTTAGGCAAAACAATTTAGTATATATAGTTGAAGATGCTAATTTCTAATAACAGACTAAACTTCCGTTAGAGTACGGAAGTGTGAAAATTGTATAAAGAGAGTAGAAAGCGAGCAAAGACAACTTTAGGAAGGTACAAATCGGTACAAGAGAGATGATCAAACCGATTTGTACCTTCCTAAAGTTGTCCTTGCTCGTTTTCTACTCTCTATATACAATTTTCATACTGCCGTACTCTAACGGAACTATCAACTCTATACTTTCATCTCCTCATCTATCCTACACAAATTACCACTTTATTCTGTTATTTGAAATTAGCATCTTCAACTACGTAAATTGTTGACTTCACGCAGAAGTAATACAAAGCATATAGTCAAAGTAATAATGTATGCTAATTTGTTAAAACTGTTGCATAGAATATATTTATATTTCTTTATAAAAAAATGTGCAGTTCAATTATGTTCGAAACTTCAATTTATGAAACAAAAATTTATCAAATTACTGGTTAATATTTTCCTTCAACTTTAAGCTCATAATTTCAGGTTTTATCGCAAAATATATTTCAAAAGTCGAAGTTTTATTATTTTTCTCATGTCAAAAAATAACTCAACTTTGATTTTCGAAATATTTTTTCCTTTTTGATTTTTTTTGACGTAGAAGTACGTCTGTGATTTCTATATGGGGGTAAACTTTGTGAAAACCGAAAACGTAACATGTAACAAAATTATGAAAGATTTTGAACGATAATAACTCTGCTGCCCCTGGACTAATTTCAATAATTGTATCACCAATGGATCAAAAATAAAAGACTCAATCATTTTTCAAAATGTCACTATTGAAAATAGCACGAATGTGCAATTGTTGCTGTGATAATAAAAAAATATCACCGATTGCCTGCGATTTCCCTAACACAGATTTCAAAGTTGAATTCCATCCGGTCTCACCAAACGTTGTTTATTCAAACACCGCGTGGTGAGTGGTGGTGTTCTCCAGAACACAACGAAATGCTCCCTGCAAACAGCTAGCTATCAAAACTGCCCTCAACCGCTGATGTGTCCGGTCGTGCTTTCGGCGTGTGGCGTTGAACATTATTCTCCAGTCGACAACGAAAGGCTGCCTGCAAGCAGTGAGCTGCAGCTCACATGTGCATCCATAGAAGGAGTAAGAAGCCGCACCGCTATTGATCGGAAGCAGTAGTTCTTCGTGAGTTGCGGTGGGCCATCTATGTCAAGCGCATCATACTAAAGAGTATAAACAGAGATAACCCCGCTCAAATTCCTATTCCTACACAAAACACAAGCACCTGCTGCAGTTAAGAAATAAGATTTATTATATGAGACCACGTAGTCCTACGTCAACATTGCTTACAACTCCATAGGGCTGTCCCTTGTAGTTTTTTTCAAATGATGTTTAATTACCTACAACTTCTTCTCAGATGTCGTTTTGATCCGATAAGTCATTATCAAGTTATATTTTTTGAAAAAAATAAATCCGATTTTAGATACTCCGTTTTCAAAAGTTACTCTTGAGAAAAATAATCATATGTAAGCGAAAAATGCAACCTTGGGTTGTATCCAATTTTAATAAAAGTTTCGTTCAAATCGGAGAGGGTAGAAAAAAAATGGCAAAAAATTGTTTATGCGTTCAGGGCTAGAAATTCTCTTTGACGAAGCAAGTTTAGATTGGTTAGGAATTATCGCATAATTATTAAAAACATTCTCTTGTTCTACTATCTTGTTCAATTATTAGGGGGAGGATTCCACTATACAAAACATAATCTTTTGCAATTTTGGCAAAAGTATAAATACCATCGATTTTGCCTCACTGCACAGACCACGCTACTTCAACTCGCCTTAGCTCTTCAAAGACCTTAAAACCGCAAAGAATGGCTAGAGCTACACGACCCGGCCGTAATAATATCGTTTTATAACAGCATTAAATTTATCAACTTTACTGTCATTTCTCGCCAGTCCTAGGAAACTTAATTTATGAAGGAATAACGTACTTGCTTATGCTACCAGCTAGCCACCGACCGCCGCGCTGACGACCGACGATGTGACAATGGTTTATTTGCTGTCACTTGGAATTTTTCTATGTTATGCTTTGCGATACCAGATTCCTATCGCACCATGCCCATCCACAAACACACGTGGTCTGTCAGAGTGTCTACGACGCTCAGGCCTCGCAAACGATTCAGTTTTTTAATGGACATCTTTATGGCAGCCGATAACAGGAATTAAAATAATTAAATTAAACGATTACGCTTAATCCTCCTCGCTTACTGCACGCATGCTTCTCACACAGTACCTTACATACTCCGTGTTTGTGGATGTGAGCTGCTGGCTGCATTTGCTAGTTCTGCCAATAAAGTTGCATCTCATTATCAACTGTTTTTGAAACCTGTTTCCCGCGAGGGCGCGCGCTCTCGGAAAGAATCGAAAAGTAAGAGTTTGTTTTTTTGCTCTTTTCCCATTGCAGTTTATTCAACTCAGCAGCAGAGGCACCTATCTGCGACAGTCGAGTTCGTTTGTCTCACATTAGCCAGTAACAAGCTAAGGATTTCTGAGTGAGTCGAACGGGAAACAACGAGCGACAGACCAATATGCGGTGGTTCAAGCGATCCACCGATTCTCCGAAGCTGCTCAGTCTGTCGCCTCTGCGGCACTCCGAGCTTGGGAATGCCTACAGTGGCGGCGGTGAGGCACCGGAAAGACCTCATGAGGGATCTATCGCCGACAGTGGTGATACAGCAGAACAATCAATACCGGGACCGGGACTTCCAGGACCGCTGATGGATCTGTTCGCTTCGTCAGCGTGTTCCACCTCGTCGTCCGGGTCGGCATCGTACACGGCCAGTTGCAGCTCCCCGTCGGCCACTTCATCGCCATCTACCTCAACTACCTTCTCCTATACCAGTGATAGCAGTAGCCTATGTACCAGCATCAGGGCGTCAGGGAAACCGGCAGCGACAGTGGCAGTGGCCAATGGCGGCGGGTGTGGCGGTGCCAACGGATCTACACCCAGAAAATCACGAATAGGTGAGTAATTTGGGATTTGCTACTGGGACAATTGTATTTAACAGGAAGGGAAACTCATTTAGGTCCTTAATGTCGTACAACAATCCACCACTCGAAAACCAACTCCGACACTCGGCCCAACCAAAACCTATTCAACGTCAATCACAAAGTTCAGCCACCTTAACCCAGTGCCCTTAACATTTCCTCGCATTATCATTCCAATTGGTAACCTCTCCCCCTGCCTGGAAGTAGTTCGAATCAAAGCTTCGCAAAGCGTCACTCTTCGTCGTCGTAGGGAAAGAGAAAGAACTCCTTTCTCGAATGGCACTCAAATTAGATCGGCCAATTTTCGATTTAGCTATCGTTTGCAGGAACATGGCTGCAACCCGAGCAGCTATTTGAAAGCTGTAACTTGTTTAGGACGGCGATAGGGTCCAAAATACAACGCTATTGCTATGTAGCAGCTGGCAGGCACTGTGAAAGGGTGCAAAAATTAGGTTAAACACCTAACGTCATTAGAGTCGTTTATCAGACTCGAACCGAGCGGACCGCGTGCAGGTCAGCAGCACAACAACAATGGCCTCTGTTGGAGAAATTCTGCTCGTGTTTGCGTTGCTGATTTTACCGGGCACAAACATTGCGAGCAAATGGGTTAGTAATGGATAATGCTTCAAATGGGGTTCAATTAGAGTTGGTAGTTCTATTTACGAAGCTGGAGAATTGAAACATGGGCACTGCGAAGATCAAAGCTTGCCCGCCGCGAAGTGGATTCTTTCCAAGTGATTTTGATTGCGATTGCTCCCTCGCGAGGGAAGGTGGTGATTGTGACGGGTAATTTTCAATGATTGCGAATTTCAGCAAACAAGCTGCGGATGATAAATGATAATGGATTACAATTTTTGGTCAAATCAATATCCAACACAACTCTCTTCAGTAGTGCAAATTTCTGAATGTTTACGAAACAAATTAAGCTTGTTAAGTAATACAGCGATGAAGATAATAAAAATTTCAATTTGGAAGAAAGTAAAAGTTCACGAAGCTCATTAAATCGGGAAGCACCGTACACATCGCAAACAGACAAGCCGGATTTGTTATGACTTGATTTTCCGCACATTTCTGGTGGCTGCTCCTAAGGTGGTGCAAAGATCAAATGGTTGCTGACGGGTGCGTGAGTGTGGATGGTCTGTATCCATGAAGCGTGTACGAAAAAGCCGTTTCCCGATCAGTACATTTTCACATTGAATTTCATGAAGGTTTTTGAGGCGCAAGTTGTGACGGTTGAATCACTTTCCGTTTGTTGGAGTACTCATGGATGAAGGTATTTTACACTTGTCGGATTGAGTTAAATGGGGCTTGAACGGGAAACTGTGAAAAAAAAATCGCTTTTTATGGTTTCGCCAATTATGATTGTGCTGTGTTCTACAGTGGTTCACTGTTTCACTACTGAGCACCTCTAATGGCGAAAAGGGCCAACGTGATAGATGTGCATTTTGGGTAATTGCTTGCTGTCGCCTTCACCCGAGATCATGTAGAATATTTGTTGACTTCGTTGATTTCTCTCTTGATGCTTCTTGATCCCAGAGCAAGGCGGGAGATCATCCAGGGATCCGTCTTCAACCAGATTTAGCATATATTGAATACAATACTGCTTACACATAACACCCAGTAAATTTGCACTGATATTTTATTATTTTTGCGTTTGTCCAGTCTCTGACCCAGCACAACCGACTTTACGGGATACAGCTCGAAGTAACGGTTCTCTGGACGAACCATTCACAATGCTGAAATTTTCAATGGCGCTTCTCTCATCGAATAACTCTGCTCCGGGAAGCGATATGAACAAATTCGACCTTCTAAAAAACCTCCCCGATATCGCTAAAAGACGATTACTTAACCTGCATAATTCATTTATGGAATTCAATATAGTTCCACCAGCATGGAGACCGGTTAAATTAATAGCTATTCAAAAGCCTGGGAAACCAGCGTCTGATCACAATTCTTACCGTCCGATCTCTAAGTTATCATGCCTGAATAAATTCTTAGAAAAAATTATCCTATCAAGACTTGACAATTGGGTTGAATTGGTTTCCGAAAGAGTGAAGGAACAAACGATTATCTAGCATTGCTTTCATCTGACATTCAACTGACCTTTGCGCACAACGAGCAATTGGCTTCAGTCTTTCTGGATATTAAGGGCGCATTTGATTCAGTTTCCATAGACATACTGTCAGACAGTCTACACAGTAGTGGATTAGCCGGTGTTTTAAATAATTTCTTGTATAATTTGCTGTCAGAAATTACCTTCAATCTAGGACAACTGACAACTTCTAGAATTATCTACATGGGCTTACCCCAAGGTTCATGTTTAAGTCCTTTACTTTATAATTTCTTTGTGGTCACCGAAGCGAGTCTGACCCCCGAGATCTTGGAGAAGCAGGTGGTTGGCCGTTCCAAGAACCGTTTGCTTCCCCCGGTGAAGATACTGGATTTCCAAAAACTGGGCTCAGTATCTGTCAGCGAGGGTAAAAAGAGTTTTACCCCTACAGACTCGTTTCGTGTGACCTTTTCTGGTTGAGCCCTTCCTCACTACATCGAGCTGGGAAAACTTCGACTACCTGTGCGCTTGTGTGTTGCCCGGGTCATGAACTGTCAAAACTGTAAGCAGTTGGGACATACGGCCTCTCACTGTGGCAGCAAGGCACGCTGTTCCAAATGCGGAGAGAAGCACGAGGATGGCGCCTGCACAGTCACTGCACCAAAATGCGTGTACTGTAAGGGAACTCATCATGGTCTCTCGTCGTACGAACAACGCGGGGAAAAATTACAACGCTCACTCAAGGAACTGCTTAAGACGGCCACGCCATCGACCAATGACAAAAATCAAAATTTTCTCTTTTGTCAGATGACGAGACTGACTCTGACTTGGCTGAAGAGGGAACTTCTTTCCGTTTTTTCTGCACGGAAACGAAAACGCATCCGTTCGCGGAAAGTTGAGAATGAAGAACCCCAAATCAGCTTGCCCAAATCAAGGAGTGGTGGAAAAAAGGAGACTTCTACCGCTTCTGGATTCCGCAGAACTGACTATACCCAGGATTTTCCGCCTCTCCCGGGGACGTCCAAAACCCCTGATGTCATATTTTTAAGAACAGAAGCCCCTTCTTCATCCGGGATGTTCTCATTTGATAAAATTGTGGACGATATTCTCATGTACCTCAATATTTCTGATCCTCTCAAAAGCATTGTTCTGGCAATGCTTCCTTCTGTGAAGACCCTCTTGAAGCAATTGACATTGAAGTGGCCTCTCCTTGCAGCAATCATTTCCTTCGATGGATAATTTTCCAAGCAAGGTCGGGGATATGATCACTGTTCTACAGTGATTTGTCGAAGTCTCAATCCTAAATTAGACCCTTTTAAGTTTTTAGTTCACAATAATGATTGTGGTGCAGTTGCTCTTTGTGAAACTTGGCTCTCTTCAGATATAGATCTTCCTTTTTTATTATTTTAACATTATTCGACTGGATCGTGAGGATTCGCGTGGAGGAGGGGTACTTTTGAGGATCAATAAAATGCACCATTCCTTCTATAGAGTGAATCTTCCACAATTTCCAGGTATTGACAGGCTGGGGGGACCTGTATGATGACAACCGTTCTACTATGATATATGATCTCTGTGACAACTTCAATATGACAATTCTTAACAATGGACACGTTTGGCTGGTCCATCCTCAAATGGAAGTAAATTAGACCTCACACTTTGCTCTAACTCATTATCGTTGGATTGCACGTGGAATGTGATCCAAGATCCCCACGGTAGTGATCACTTGCCGATCAAAATTTCGATTGCCAGTGGGTTCAATCCGTCGGAATCCGTTAACATCGCGTACGACCTCACTCGTAATATCGATTGGACAACGTTCAAGACCGCGATACATGAAGCCCTAACGTCGGTAGAAGAGCTTCCACAGTTGGAGGAATATAACTTTCTTTCCAATCTGATCTTGGACAGCACGCTTCGAGCTCAAACTCGGCCGGTTCCAGGAACGTCTTTCCGTAGGAAACCTTCTTCCCCTTGGTGGGACCAGCAATGCACTGAGGTTTATCGTAAAAAGTTCGACGCGTTTAAGCTTTTCCGGAATCATGGAACACCCGTACATTTCGAAGCGTACTCGACTCTTGCACGCGAACTCAAGAGCCAAGAAACGCGGTTACTGGCGGCAATTTGTGGACGGATTATCGCGCGAAACGTCGATGAATACGCTTTGGAACGCGGCGCGAAGGACGCGTAACCGATCTTCGAACAACGAGAGCGAGGAGTACTCAGATCGTTGGATTCTCAAGTTCGCACGAAAAGTATGTCCTGATTCTGTGCCGGCCCAGATGATTCCTCGCAAAACGACGAATTCGGTCAGCCTTTTTCAATGCTGGGGCTCTCACTCGCTCTTCTTTTGTGTAGCAATTCGGCTCCGGGGGCTGATAGAATCAAGTTCAACTTGTTTTGTCAGTTCCTGGAGCTCAATATTGTTCCAGATGATTGGAGGCGAGTGAGAGTAATAGCCATTAAAAACCTGGGAAACCCGCGTCAGACCATAACTCGTATCGTTCCATTACGATGTTATCGTACATTCGAAAGTTGTTGGAGAAAATGATACTTTTTCACCTGGACAAATGGGTTGAGATGAACCACCTACTCTCAGATACTCAATTTGGTTTCCGTAGGGGCAAGGGAACGAACGACTGTCTCGCGTTGCTTTCCACAGAAATTCAGTTGGCTTTTGCTAAAAAAGAGCAAATGGCTTCTGTCTTCTTGGATATTAAGGGGGCTTTTGATTCAGTTTCGGTTGAAGTCCTTTCAGGCAAAGTCCGAGCTTGTGGCCTTTCTCCATTAATTAATAACTTTTTATACAATTTGCTGTCAGAGAAACATATGAGCTTTTGTCATGGAAACTCTACAGCTTCACGATTTAGCTACATGGGTCTCCCCCAGAGCTCATGTTTAAGCCCCCTTTTGTATAATTTCTACG